TAATAAAATTATTAATAGGACTAGTAAGTGGTTTTTAAGCTAAAATTAATACTAAAGTGACCAGAAGTTTTGTTGAAACAGTGAGGTTAATGAATTTTTGAAATAATCCTAATTATGTTATGCTGATACATAGCATTCTGCTTTGGAGAGAAAAATGTGAATATGGGCATGCGTTATAGAAAATTCAGATTAGAAGTGAGACCTCACTGCTAACTCGGTCTTTATCCTGCAGAGTAGGCTGTAGTGCCATGTAGGGGTGGGGAGGAAAGATGAGTTGTCACCAGTGTTTTCCTATTTGGCAAGGGCCTTGCTGTGCAAATACAACCCAGACGGAAGGGGTCAGTGGCCTCAGAGTTGGGGGCTTTGCAACTTCTTCCTTTCTTTTCAGCTGCCGCAGTGGGTAAAGGGGAAAGTGTACATGGTGTTTCTAGGGTCTGGGCTCCGCTGTTTTGTAAGGTTCTGATTAAAGAAAACTTGAGAAGCATGGCACCCCTCTCCTAGGGTTCAGTGATCAGCCTTCTGCAGATGTGTCCAGTGCCACCACCAGGTGTGCTGCCAAAACCAACTGGATTTAAGAACAACTGTCCAAGGCTCATAAAAATTCCCAAACCCTGTTTTTCGTATATTTCTGAAGTCCAACTGCCTGATCCCTATCCTAGTCCAGTGATAAAACTGTTAGAAGGTTCCTATCTGAGTTCTGTCCAGTAGCAAGGTGGATGCCTCATGAGAGGGTGAGCTCCCCAGCTCTGAAAACAGCACCCAAGCCTGTCCTCTGTTGGCTGCATTTTCATCCCTCCATTAGCAGCGTAGAAGTGAGCCATCAGAACGCAAAGCAGCACAGGGTTCAGGGCCATGGTCAGTGGATCAGGTTTTCAGCACATTATCGGCATGTTGACTCACACCGTAGCACATGCGTTTGGTAGCCTGGCCTCATTTCTTTCAGGGCTGATGCCTAAAGTTCAATGCCACTTGTCTCATGTGTGCCAACTGCTGGCTGAGGTCATTGCCTCCTGGGGAGCAGTGGGTGGGTGTTGCTTTCTGACCTCACTCAGGTCTCTGCCCCTCATGGAACACTCCATTCCTTCCCCTGCATGTGATCCCATGTGATCTGAGGCACATTGGGAGACCAAGTAGTTGCATGATTTAAAAATACTCTTCAAAATGATCCATCCAGAGTATCGCATCCAGATGCAACACTGTCAGCCCAGGTTGTCCCTGTATTTGGTGTTTGTTTATCCTGCTTACAGGCCAGTGGATTTTAGTCTAGATATGTCTCCTTTCCTTAGTGCGGTGGGATGTGGCTCCATTAACAGCAGTGGAATGGAACTAGTTTGCTATTTCTAGCCACTTCCTTCCACTTTAGCATTATGATCATTCGTTTTTTTAAATACCATTTTCATGGGTCATTAGTTTTGTGTGCGCTTCTCCACCTCCCACACCCTCTTATTTTTTTCCATTATCAGAGCCTCACTCGTTAAGAACAAAAAGTAAATAAGCATGCAGACTTGTGGTCACAGTTTTGTGAACATGCAGCTTCACGGTGGTACCTGAATATTTGCCTTCTGAGTACAATGAGTCAGTTTCAGTGGTTCCTAAAAATGGACAGACAAGATGGGCTTCTCAAGATGGAGGCTAGGCCAACATCTAGGGAGCCTCTTATCACACTGGCCAGCAGGCATGATGGACATGAGATTTCTGTTGTCTGCATCTGGAGCTGGTACCACTGTCTGGAGTGCAATAGAGATGGGTTTCTGGGAAGACCCCCCAAGGCAGCTCAGAAGGTCCCCAGCATATCAAAGTACCTCAACCCAGAGTGGACACAGATAGGGACAATTCACTACTCTGCAGGGGTCCCTGAACACGAGTTCAAGGGACCTGCCCAGACCTTAGCCATCTCCACCTCTCCTGAGATTTCCCAGTTGACAATGGATCATATAATCAGTGAGGGCCCTTCCTTGTTGAATTACTTGCATCACTACTGAATGACCAACTTTTCATTGTTTGTGCTTCTTCTACAAAGCTAAATTATAGATCTCTTGAGCACAGGGCTCAGTCTTGGATGAAGGGACTTCCAAAACATTCCTATAATGTGGAATTCATGTTTATTTTGGAGCAAAAATTTTGAAGTCCATGTAATGGGATGGTCTTCAGAATGTTCAATGGAGGATGCATAGTATGAAAAAAACATGCATAGATTTCAAAAAAATAAATTGTACCAACAAAGAATTTAACATCTAATTCCATTTTCCATGGACTTTTTTTGTAGAAAGAGTAACAGTTCTACTTTATTAAAATACTGAGTGTATTTCACATGTATATCTGTCTCCCCACCATTTCCACATCTGACCCCTACTACTACTGTGTCCTGTCATAACATTCCATACATACTTAGAACCAAGCAAAGGGTGGAGTTCTGTCTCTAAAAACTAAACAGGCATTTTGGACAACACATTCTTGGCAGTGGAACCTGGACAACATTTATCAAACACGGTAGGCAAAGTTCCCACTCTGCATTATAAAAAGGACAGCCAGATATCAACTGTTACAGAAATGAAATAAGATGGATAATTTTAACAAACTGTTTAAACTATTAAAGAGACTTCTTCCACTGCCGAAGATCTTGAATAGCCTCCTGGTCAGTCATCCGGAAGCAATTCTTCACGTAATTGGTGAATTTGGCTTCCACTTTGGTAAGAGAACCACCTTTTTCTATACTTGCTTGCATTTTTGTTTTAATGTCCTCTATAGAACTAGGTCCTTTTGGTGTTTTAGGAGTTTTTTCCAGTTTTTTGAAGGATTCTTGACCTTTTGATCTTGGTGTTGATGATTTCAAGTCTTTCCCATTCTGGTTTGATTTCTGTGCATTTTTGGCTGGGATATCTCGTATAGATGTCTTCACTGGAGATTTTTCTTCAATTTTCCATCAGAAAAATCACCGTCATCATCTTCATCATCATCACATCGTCATCTTCATCATCTTCAGCAGCAGCAGGCTTTGCTTTTTCTGTGGTACCTTGCTGTCCCCTCCAGGGGCAGATCGTTTTCCAGATATACTTAATAGCATCACATCCCCCTCCTCTGTCTCTTCTAACTCTGCATCTTCCTCCCCAGCTACTAAGTGCCGTCCACTAAATGCACAGGCCCTGAACCACACTCAACATTAAGACCACAGGTGGTGTTACTTCAAAGCCCCCAAGGGAGACCGTTGGCTGTACAGATATTTTCAATGCTGCCAGTGTTACTTGAATCGGACCGCCTTCCTAATTCATTGCCTCTGCTTCAACAATGTGCAAGTTCATCCTTTGCACCAGCGCCTAAACTGACTGTTCCTAAAGATACTCGGTGCCCATTTTCGTCATCGTCCACTTTAGAGTGATAATCTTTGACAGCCTTTAGTTCACAACCAAAAAGATAGTTCTGGGGCCCCAGGGAGCCCATGTCCATGTCCATCAAATCTTCCATGAGGTGGAGGGATGAACTTGGGTGGGAGAGAAGACGGGCGAAGATGAGATGCCCAGTGCTGCAAAGAACAGCCACACAGGACAGAATCAGGCCAGGCCCATGGACTTCTTGAAGCGCTCTTGTATTCAAACATCCCTCACAGCACTTGGCGCAGGAAGAAGAATTAGGCTGGACTTGCGTTGGAATGTCTGCTCTCTGTGTACCAGCTCTGTGACCATGTATAAATTCCTTCACCTCCCAGCTTCTCCTTTTCTTTATCTACAGAGCTAGAGGCAATGGTGCCAGCCTTGCCAGGGAGTTACAAGAATTAGGTAGCAGGATGCTGGGCAGCAGGAGATGCTTGGTAAATGGGAACTGTGACTAACTAGACAAAGCCTTGCACACAGAAGTGGAACAAAATTTTTGCAAAATTGAGCTGACAAAGTCAGATTTAAGAAGAGCTAGTCATGGGCTCTTAAAGTTTCATGGTGCTGACACTGTTTCCTCTGTCCTCGGGCTTCAGTGACATTCACAAACCAACTTTTTTTTTTAACTTTTATTTAATGAATATAAACTTCCAAAGTACAGCTTATGGATTACAATGGCTCCCCCCCATAACTTCCCTCCTACCCGCAACCCTCCCCTCTCCTGTTCCCTCTCCCCTTCCATTCACATCAAGATTCATTTTCAATTCTCTTTATATACAGATCAATTTAGTATATATTAAGTAAAGATTTCAACAGTTTGCACCCACACAGAAACATAAAGTGTAAAATACTGTTTCAGTACTGGTTATAGCATTAAATCTCAATGTACAGCACATTAAGGACAGAGATCCTACATGAGGAGTAAGTGCACAGTGACTCCTGTTGTTGACTTAACAATTTGACGCTCTTGTTTATGGCGTCAGTAATCACCCTTGGCTCTTGTCATGAGTTTCCAGCTGTTGAGGTCAATTGAGGAATGAACCAACGGATGAAAGACCTCTCTCTCTCTCTCTCTCTCTGCCTCTCCTCTCTCTGTAAATCTTTCAAATAAAATTTAAAAAAAAAAGAAATAAAGAAAAAGAAACCCCATGGACTTGGTGTTTGATAGGGCCCTGTTGGTAATGTGGTGCACAAGAAAATGAACCTGTTGGGGCAGGCACTGTAGCAAAGCAGGTAAAGCCACTGCTTTCCACGATGCCGCGTCCCATATGAGTGCCGGTTGGAGTCCTAGCTGTTCCATTTCCAATCCAGCTCCCTGCTAATGGCCTTGGAAAAATAGGAAAGATGGCCCAAGTGTTTGCCACCCCCCGACACACACACAAACACACACAAACACACACACACGTGGGAGACCTGGATGAAGCTCCTGGCCATTGCGGCCTTGTGGGAAGTGAACCAGCATATGGAATCTCCCTCTGTCTCTCCCTCTGTCTCTGTAACTTTCAAAATAAATAAATGAATCTTTTCATTAAAAATAAAAGAAAATGAGCCTGCTGTCTTTGGCTGAAGGGAGCGGCAAGAGGGATCAGGGCACTGGCTGGCTCGGTGGAGAAGCTCTCAACAGGACTGATTGGGAGGGAAATTAATAGGCTGCCCATTGTTACCGTGTGCTCTTGCCAGGATATTTCATTAGCGTAAACACTGAACCCGTTGTCATCTCGTTCAGCCACTTGACCCCGGTGATTTTCAATTCCGCCTGTGCCCATGATGAAGTGCAGCGGTGGCACGCTGGAGACAGGCAGTAATTATTGGAAGCAGAATCATTGCTGACCCAGTACGAGATTAACTGCTCCTTTGCAGGCTTTATTCCGGGACATTAGCACTGTCTGCTTATCTTGCTTCAGTTGAGAGGTTCAGGACAAAAGCACTGCTGATGGTAATGTTGCCAATTTCCCTGTTTGTTTTGCAGGTCACGGCCAGGGGCTTCGGGCCACTGCTACAGTTTGCCTACACCGCCAAGCTGTTACTCAGCAGAGAAAACATCCGCGAGGTCATCCGCTGCGCCGAGTTCCTGCGCATGCACAACCTGGAGGACTCGTGCTTCAGCTTCCTGCAGACCCAGCTCCTGAGCAGCGACGATGGCCTGTTCGTGTGTCGCAAGGACGCCGCGTGCCCGCGGCCGCACGACGCCCGCGAGAACTCGGCGGGAGAGGAGGAGGAAGAGGAGGAGGAGACGATGGATTCCGAGACAGCCAAGATGGCTTGCCCCAGGGACCAGATGCTTTCAGACCCCATCGGCTTTGAGGGTGGTGGCGCCATGCCGGTAGCTGAGAAGGGAGAGGCATTGCTGCGCGAGTCGGATGTGCCCCCGGACACCAAGGAGAGCTCAGAAAAGGACACGCTGACGCAGTACCCCAGATACAAGAAGTACCAGCTTGCATGTACCAAGAACGTCTACAACGCATCATCTCACAGTACCTCAGGTTTTGCAAGCACATTCGGTGAGGACAACTCTGGCAGCAGGCTCAAGCCAGGGCTGGCCGTGGGGCAGATCAAAAGCGAGCCGCCCAGCGAGGAGAACGAGGAAGAGAGCGTCACGCTCTGCCTGTCCGGGGATGAGCCCGACGCCAAGGACAGAGTGGGGGACGTGGAGATGGAGCGCAAGCAGCCCAGCCCCGCCCCGGCTCCCAGCGCCCCCACAGGCGCCACCTGCCTGGAGAGAGCCAGGGGCGTGGCGTCGCCCTCCTGCCTGCGCTCTCTCTTCAGTATCACAAAAGGTGTGGAGTTGGCTGGCCTGCCCAGCACATCTCAGCAGCACTTTGCCAGGAGTTCGGCGTGCCCTTTCGACAAGGGGATCACTCAGGGTGACCTTAAAACTGACTACCCCCCTTTCGCGGGCAGTTATGGACAGCCCCCTGCGGGCCAAAAGGACTCTTCTGCTTTCCCCATGGGCTCGCCCCTCCGGGGGCCTGGGTTGGAGGCCCTCTGTAAGCAGGAGGGCGAGCTGGACCGGAGGAGTGTGATCTTCTCCTCCAGTGCGTGCGACCAAGGGAGCACCACGGTGCATCAGTATTCCGGGGTGAGCAGTTTGGACAAGGACCTGTCCGAGCCAGTGCCCAAGGGGCTCTGGATGGGAGCCGGCCAGTCCCTGGCCACCTCACAGGCCTATTCCCACGGTGGGCTGATGGCCGACCACCTGCCAGGAAGGATGCGGCCCAACACCAGCTGCCCGGTGCCCATCAAAGTGTGCCCTCGCTCACCCCCACTGGAGACCAGGACCAGGACTTCCAGCTCTTGCTCCTCCTACTCCTACGCAGAGGACGGGAGCGGGGGCTCGCCCTGCAGCCTCCCTCTCTGCGAGTTCTCCTCCTCACCCTGTTCCCAGGGAGCCAGATTCCCTGCCACGGAACACCAGGAGCCAGGCCTGATGGGAGATGGCATGTACAACCAAGTGCGACCCCAGATTAAATGTGAGCAGTCTTACGGAACCAACTCCAGCGACGAATCCGGATCGTTCTCGGAAGCAGACAGTGAGTCGTGTCCTGTGCAGGACAGGGGCCAGGAGGTAGGGAACCCACATCAATTCTAGCATGTGACCCACTCTCTTGGTCCTTGTCTGGACTTTGCCCAATTTGCCAAGATTAAAGGTGATGCTAAACCACCTGCCTCTCCCATCCTTGGAGGCGGGCTGCTGCTGCTGCAGGTGGTTCCAGATGACCCACTTTTGTCCTAGGGGGCACTTGATACTTGGTCTGCATTTCAGTACTCAACACCCGGAAGCAAACTACTCAGTGAATTTTATAAATATTTATTTATTTATTTATTTATTTATTTATATAAACTTAACGCATAGAAAGCATTCAGGCACTTGAGAGCTCTGCCTTCTTCCTCCCTTTCCTCCCCTCTGTCTGCCTTGAAAGGCTGCTGTACTCATCCAGACCCTCCCCCTTGCTCTTCCCCCACTTTGGTAGGAGGGAGAAGGTAGAAGCCCCTTCAGAGTTGATGGATTGAAACCAGATAGTCAACACCAACCGCGTGCTTTTCCAGCCCCTGGGAGATCCTTCTTGTCAGCAAAAGGCCCCAGGCCCTCCCATGTCCATCATGGTGCAGCTGATGGGCTGCCCGCCCTCTGCCCTGGGCCAGGGGTCACTGCAGAAGCCCCCCCAGGCAGCCACACAGCCGTCTGGTGGATTTCCCAAGCTCTCATTGTTAAGAAAGGTATTTTGAGGAATATTAGGGGATAGAGGAACCCTTTTGTCCATGTCAGAAGCAAAGTGCTTTAGGGATAAACATCCCCAGAGGCTCCATCCGTGTCTCCTCATTGCTGGGAGAGGGAGCAGGAACAACCCCAGCCACGTGGCAAGCAAGACTCAGGTGACCGAGGAGAGAAAGGAGTGAGAGCCGCCTGCGTCCCCGCCTTCCCAGTCCATGAGCACCGCCCCAGAGACCTGAGGGTGTGCCTGCCGTCTCCGGGCACTCGCTCTACTGTCTTGGTGCGTTAGTCGTCTTTTCATGGCTTTAAAATACCCAAGGAGAACTTGTTGAGAAGGAAAAGATTTGTTTGAGCTTGCAGTTTAGGTGTTCATGGTTCAGAATCTGCGGGCCCCACTAGTCTGGTGTCTGGTAGAAGCTGGTAGGGATGGAGTGGGTTCAGAAGAGCCACCACATGGTGAGCTAGGCCGAACTGAGCTTAAATAACCAACCCTCCTGGGAGACCTACCTTCTGAGGACAAGCCCCCAGTGGCCAGAACACCTCCCAGCAAAAGCACCTGCCAGGTGCCATAATTAGATCAAATACCCACCCCGTCATACCTCAACCCTTAACTTTAAGACTTTGTGGTCTAAACAGCTGCATGAGCTTGGGGAGCCAAGTTGTGTTCAGTCCGTAACACTTGCTGGCTGCCAGGAACCAACCTGAGACAGCCACCTGTGTCCTAGACCTGCCTTCTGAGCATAAGTGCCCAAGAGTGAGTGCCGGGTCATTTCTGAGAGCACAGGAAGGAGGGAAGTGCAGTCCTCGCTGGGCAGGCGCACGTGGCGGTGGTCTGCAGTGCCTGGGCCACAGGCAGGTGGAAGGCCCAGGACATGAGCACAAGCAGACAGCAGAAATGCCATGCGCGCGGAGGTGGCTTTTCCCTGGGCCACGTGCGGTATATGCAGCCTCGGCCAGAGCGGCGTGAAGCACATGAGGTTTGAGTTCAGGCGTGTTTAGAAGCGGATTCTAGGACTCCCTGTGCCGGCCACAGAAATGGAAATGCCATGTGGTCATTTCCTCTCCTTTGCAAGCCAGGCGGGTCCCTGCTGCTCTTCTGTTCCTGCCTGGCAGAAGTGGTGAAAGACTGAAAAACCCTGCAATCGAGACAAGCTTCAATTTAACTGAAAGAGCGTGGAAAGGACATTGGGCTGGGGGCTGTTCACCTTGGGTTTGAGATGGAGGCGTGAACCCTGCACCCTGAGCCAGGTTTCACACCTGTGTCTTTGACCTTGAGAGGCTAGAAGATTCATGAACAGAGTGGGAGGTTTTGCACTCTGTCTGCTCACTCATTCCTTCCCACCGACCACAACTTTTGTGTGATTTGCGTTTTGTCCCTGAAGCTGTTAATAGGTGTCCTGACGCAGAAGGCTCGGCGCCGGGTCCAGTTCACCCACGAGATGAGACATCTTACCAAGCACTGGTGTAGTGAGAGCAGGACAGGCGCTTCCCAGCCTTTGTGTTTTGTCTTTTGGGAACCCCCCCAACCCCGTAACTCAGCTCGGGAGGTTGCATTTTTCTGACATTTGCATACATTCAAGGACTGTCAGTTGCAGATACATCTCCTCTTGTCCCCAGCTGTCCCAAAAGAGACCTTAGAGTCACCTTCCAGAACTCGGTGCCCTCGACAACACCTGGGTTTTCCTGTGTTCAGACGTTCCGTTGTTTTGCCTTAGAACTGAAAATGCTGACTCAGCGAAAAGGAGCACTCATTCAACCTGTAAAACAGCCACAAACAGGACAAGTCTCCCCTCCAAAAATACCTCTACATTTTTTAAGACTCTTTTTTACTTTAGTAGAAAAAAAAAAAGGCTCTTGTTTGTCTTCCTAAACAGTGAAAAGAGAGACATTCACCAGTACAACTAGGTCTTCTGCACTCTGATGCTCTCATTTCCCTGGCGTGGAGATTAGGTTACCCCAGAATTGTCTCAGGGTCTAGCCTAACAGCCCCTCTTGGCTTTAATAACTCGCTTTGGGGACCCACATGGACCCTGGTGGGAGCGTTGTCCCCGGCAAGTACACTGGAGGCCAACCCTTCCCTGCCTGGGTCGTAATCAGAAGAGGCATTGCTGCCCGGCTGCTCTCTGGCCTCATAGCTGTGCCCCTTCCTGATCTCTCTGCCTGCGCCTGTGGGAGGAACCCAAGGGTTAGATCACGGGAAATCACTTATGTGCTCCACGTTCCGTAGGATGTTATGGTTTTTCCATGTCAAGTAGCTCTTCTGTCTCCTAAACATGGACTTCTCCTGTCTTTTTGAACTGTTCCCTGGTTTGTTTGTTTGTTTAAAAGATTTTATTTATTTATTTGACAGTTACAGACAGTGAGAGGGAGAGACAGAGAGAGGTCTTCCATCCACTGGTTCACTCCCTAGATGGCCGCAATGGCCAGAGCTGGGCTGATCCGAAGCCAGGAGCCAGGAGCTTTTTCTGGGTCTCCCACATGGGTGCAGGGGCCCAAGCACTTAGGCCATCTTCTGCTGCTTTCCCAGGCCATAGCAAAGAGCTGGATCAGAAGTGGAGCAGCCAGGACTCAAACCAGCACCCATATGGGTAGGCAGAGGATTAACCTACTGCGCCACAGTGCTGGCCCCTGTTCCCTGGTTTTAAAACAAAGTTTGAATTGGCACAGTGTTGTCTTTTATTAATAATCATCGTTTGAAAATTACTTTTTAAATAATAAAAGTGTAACACGCCCAGCCCTGGTATACCAAATTTAACAAACTTTCTGTGTGCCTACCACAATATGTAAGAGGCCTGTAAAAAGTATGTGAGAAATACATGTTGCAAAAAACCTGCATGGACTTCAACATTTTTTGGAAGCAAAATAAATGTTCTGAATTATGTACTTAGTTTCACCTACTTATATGTAAGACAGAAAGAGACATAGAGACAGACAGAGATCTTCCACCCACTGGACCACTCCCCAAATGCCTGCAACACTCAAGGCTGGGCCAGGCCAGAGTCAGCTCAAGCCTCGCATGTTGGTGGCAGACACCCAGGTACTGGAGCCTCACCTGTCACCTGCCGCCTCCTTTCTTGTGTCAGCAGGAAGCTGGCATCTGGAGCAGAGCTGGGACTTGAACCCAGGCGCTGCAGTATGGGATGCAGGCGACTTCATCACTACGTCTTAACCATTGCAGCGAACGCCTGCCCCAGCTCACCTCCTAATTCCATTTTCCACAAACTTCTAAGCACCCTCAGGCAAATCCGTATTTGAATCTCCAGGAGCTGGGGCTTCATCTTAATGGCATCGCTCTGTGTAATTACTCCGCAGCTACCTTTTCATGTTTCCGCCACATAGCTGTCTTCTGTGTCCGTGCCTTCAGGCAGCTCTCACGGGGCCAGCACATGCCCCTGCAGTACCCACGGCCCCGTAAATCACAATTTTGTCACCATCAACAGACATCCCAGTTGTTCCCAGTTTTTCCCCTCTTACAAACCTTCCTGCAGTAAACAGTTTTGTGAACATATTGTTAGCATAGGAGCTTTTTCATAGGCGAGATAAAGATTGTGCCCATTTATTAAATAGCACCTAATTACCTTCCCAAAAGGTTGCAGCAGTTCACATATCTTGTTGCAATTTGGGAGTGTCCATTTCTGCCCATTCTTACCAGTACTAGTTGTCACCAGTCCTTTTACATTTTGCCAATTGATAGACAAAAAATGGAGACTACTTAAGAGGTGTTTTGTATGTGTATCGCCACTTGTGTTTCTTTCACTATGAATTGCCAGTTTATATATTTGCCCATTTTTCTTTTGTGTTGTTTGACTTAAATTTATAGGAATCTGAATCCCTACTATTAGGAACATTAACCTCTTCTCGTAAATGTTACCCACGATTTCTCTATGTATTTATAGCCTTTTTAGAGAAAAGTTTAAGTTTTATATAACCAGAGTGTCAGTCTTTCTCTTTATGACTTCTAGGTTTGCTGTGTTCTTTAAGAAGTCAGCTTGGGAATTTTTCTCTTGCCTTCAATGATGAGAAAACTGAACAAGTCATATTTAGTAGAAAAAGGTCACAAAACAGGATGCATAACAAGGTCCTCTTTTGTCTCATACATGTGCATGTAAATAATAAAATCAGTACAGAGAATAAGATAAAATTGGAAGCAAAGTTGGGGAGTAGGAGTATAGGGAACGTTTCATTTGTGTACATGTAATGTTTGAATTTCATATATGTGTATCCCACATAGGTTAATTTTTTTAATTGAGATGCCATTTCCATACCATAAAATGCACACTGTTAAAGTGAACAGTGGTTTTTAATATATTCAGAGTGTTGTACAGCACCACCATCTAATTCCAGAATGCTTT